CTTCAAAAATTTTGATGATGTGGCAGTCAGTACATTGATTTTGACCGGTCAGCTCTCTCATTGATGACGTGACACACATTTAGGAACACATCAGCAACACGAGGCACATCTAGCAACCGACAGGTGGTCACACCACATACTGCCACCTGGCCTCGTCAACACATCATCTTCAATAGGGCTGGCAATTCGTGACACGACCCGAATTTCAGACACAAATATGATACGAAATAAACAGGTTCGGGTTGAGATTTTTAACCCGTATAAGAAACAGGTCAGGTTAGGGTTGACCTGTTTGTTATACGCGTCGGGGCCGGGTTAACTTGTCGAGTTGCCCGGGTTACCCATTTATATGCAATTTATATGTTTTAAGGGGTATTTTGAGAATTCCACAACATTAATAACCCTAATCCTTAGGACTACATATAGCACGCATTCACTTTTATTCTTTAATTTTCGTCTTCTTCCTGATGGCCGACTCAAAACGCCCTTCTTCAGATCCTTCCAATCTTTCGAGTAGTACCTTTAAATTTTCCAAGCTGAAGGGTTTTGAAGTGACGAGAATTTTGTCTTGAATGGGCTTTGGTGAATCTTTATTAAAATGGGCGAATCGATTTATAAGCTATCATCATCGTCCTCATCGTTAGCACGGTTCTCCTGAATTTGATTTTACACTACGGGATCATTTAAATGTTGATGGTGCAATATTATGACATTTGGGTGGGGGATGCTCGATGTATTTTTAACTAAAGGATGAATTTCTTCTTTTTTTTTTCTTTTGGCACTGGTTTGTTCCTCAATTTGTCTTTTTTTGTAAATGTATTATTTTTTCTTGGATTGTAGTTTCTAATTGGCAATTGGCAACTGAAGTACTTCTACTGTCTCTGAATTTGAGTCTTTATGGATGAAGGATGGATTTATTATTACATGGTCTTATTTTTTTGTGTGAGACTGAGGTTTAGGTTTTTCGCTCTTTGGTTATGTTATGCAATTTTTATGTGTGAGTTTGAGATTCCTATATGGAATTACGGATAAATTGAAAATTTTAGAATTATTTTTTTCACGGGTTAAACAGGTCGACCCAAGTTGACATGGTATTTAAAAGGTCGGGTTAGGGTTGAGATTCCTGACTTGTGTAATTAAATAGATCGAGTTCGGGCCAGCTATTATTTTTTCCGGGTTTGGGTTTGACCTGACTCGCCAACCCAAACCCGACACAGATTGCCATCCCTAATTTCTGATTTATCCGACCTTGATAGGTGGTGCTCTCACACCTTGACACGTGGCACAACTTTCAGTTGACACGTGGCATTGCCTCGGAAACCCTAGCCGCCAATCAGCTCCACACAAACCAACTGTCTAGACCACTCCAACTTCGAACCGCGATATCTCAATATCTAATGTTCAAAATTGTCTCAAACTTCACCACAAATACAACTCAAACGTGTAGATTACAGATCCAGTGTCCAATTGGTCAGATTTTGCTCCATTGGCCAAAAGTTGAGACAACGGCCGAAATTCTTCTCTCTCCAATATCTCTCACTATAACAGTCTGATTTCTCTCAAACTTGGGCTTCTAATGTTTTCTGATGTAAGGAAACCAACTGCACACTCAGATTGCCGAGTTGATGACTCCTTCATGCCAATATCAAAATTAGCATTGTCTCACTGCTCAAAAAACTATACCAGATTAACAAACCTCCCCTCAAACACAAGACCACACACTCGGGCCTCCTCTTCAATGATAACCCAACTTGTACTGCCATTATCGTCCACGAAACCCGCCGCCTGACCACCTTTGTTAGATAGACTTTCGACGTAAGGGTTACAACTAGGCACCGACTCCACTCCTTGAGCCCATGAGTTGTTACAAGATCAAACTAAGAGAACACGCCACCCTATCCGCATATCTACTAGACTAGAATCGTGGCTCTGATACCACTTCTTAGGGATCGAAACACCTTATCATACTCAATAGACACACACAGTGGAAATCAAACATGCACACAACACACAATTTTATGTGGTTCGATTCTCAACATGACCTACATCCACCGAAAAACACACCATCACTGTATATCTGAAAAATAGAAGAATTTACAAGTGTAGAGCCTCTCTCGATACACACTGTCTCTTGACCTCAATTCTATTTTTCCTCCCCTCTCTGCATGATGGCTACATTATGTTTTCAAACTGATTTTAGTACAAATTTCACGTATTTACACTAACCGGGCTAATAATAACCCAACCCTAATAAATTTTGGAGTTTGAGGAGATGATACAACACTATGTTATTCAAAAGAAAAGGCCTCGACTTATAAATAAACAATATTTATATGTAACAATTTAAGCGGGGAATGTGAAACATAATACTTCCTACAATCAAAAATGCATCACATATAAACCATATTTATAGCTAGAGGGAAATGATGCGTATGAATATAGTTGTATATAAAGGTATTTTTTCCCTTAAAAATTCACTGCAATTGACTCCACCTTAAATGTGGGTAAAACTCCGTTTAAATACTATTTGGTAGAAATTGAACCCAGATCTAATATAAAGAAAAATAACATTCTAACACTATATTGTTATTCAATTCTCTAGTTGTATATATAAGTATATACGAACTCTTAAGTATTTTTTTTTGAGAAAGAGAAGAAAATAAGAATTTTAAGAACATGAATAAAAGAGAGAAGAATGAGAATAATATTTGAAAACTACATTGCGATTAACACAATTACAAAAGAAAGTGGTTGCCTATTATTAGGGGCGCTAGTTAATCAGGTCAACCCAATAAGCAGACCGAACCGATTCAAATTCGGTCAGTTCGATTCGGATAATTTAAAATTCAGTTGAAATTTTGGGTTCACCCGAATAACCCATTCCTTATACGGTTTGGGTGTCGGTTTACAGAAATAGGCCCGAAAAATCGAATAAGAGATTAATATTTATTTTATATTTTAATTATTGATTAATTTTACGTTAATTTTTTAGAATTTTTTATTTTAATCCCTAATAATATTATAAACTCTTGACCCATTTCCCTTGCCCTCATTTCCTTCCGTCGCCACTCGCCCGCCGCCACCCCCTTCCTCCTCCTTTCTTTCTCCGCTCTCTTTTTCTTCCACCCATTTCACTTTTTTCTTCCCCTTCTCCCCTTCTTCTTCTCTTCCCTTCTTCCCCTTCTTCTCTTCTCCATCTCTCAAACGGAAGCCAGAACTCCGAACTCGGAATTCTTTTGGTGGGTGAAAAAAGAAATTGGAAGAGGAGCCATAAATTGATACTGGTGGAAAGCTTTGGCATACATCTTGAAGAATTTCAGTCTCTAAAATCCAAATCTTCGTCAATGGTAGCTCTACTTCAGCCTTCAACTCTAAACTCTCATCTTCCATCGATAAAATGGCCCTCACTTTCCTTTCTTCTCTCTCCATCTCCCTGTCTTTCCCCTTTTTAAAAATTCTTTTGATTTCTTGTTGAATTGATAGAGGATTGCTTGTGGTTGTTGATATCTGGAAGTTGACTTTTGATTGTTTTAAAAATCTGGATAAATTGCTCTCTCTCTCTCTCTCTCTCTCTCTCTCTCTCTCTCTCTCTCTCTCTCTCTCTCTCTCTCTCATGCTTCAATAAATTTTTTTTTAATTTTCTGGGAATAAAAAAGTTTGGTTATGCGGGTAACCTGAAAACCAAACCGATAAATCCAATTTTTTTTTCGGTCGATTCGGTTCTGAATAATAAATTATACGGTTCGATTTCAGAGGGGTGAGGTGAGAGGAAAAAAACTGATTAACCCAAACCGAATTCTCTCGAACCGCATTAAATTAGCAGTCCTATAATTTATAAGTATGTGTACAATATTAGATAAAAATTGTTATTCATAATTATGAAATTAAACTAATCTTGATAATTATTAAATTATATCTACCACTCATGATAATTCTTTAATAAAAATTATCATTAAAGTAAATTCTTCCTCAATGACTATTAATGGTGATCTTTAACATCCTCCCTCCAACTGAGTCGGGGTTACAAACTCAGTTTGCGCTGACTGTGTTGACGGCTTTCTCGTCCTTAAGAACAGGAGCAGTGAAAAACTTGTATACTCGGCCTTCAGTTATTCTGGCCATGTGTTGGACAAATTGCCTGAAATTTATTATTAGATTGTTTTATAGCAAGTCAAAACTCTTCTTTTGGAAAATATCAGACTTTTGCCATAATAGGAATGTTTTGTGGATTGATAGACTGTTGTATGACAAGTCATAATTCTTTATCTGAGAGAAGATCAGACTTTTGCTATAATGAAAATCTTTGTAGATTGACTTAGAGGTAACTTTCCTCTTTGTCTGAAATTTGTGAATCAACGGACGTTGGTTTGTAAGAAAATAAAATAAAATAAAATAATTTGTAGTTCAATAGAATTGATTTATGACAGGTTTATGGGACTGACTACTCTTGGAAGAATCTAAATGGATTATAAGATTAGTAATAGAGGAGGAATGCAAGATAGTGATTTGGGATGAATTTGAAATTTAAGAATGACACAATCGCTAGTATGTACATGATCAGGAAATCATGATTTATTTTCCTGAAGAGAAAAAAAAAAGATACTATTTATGAATGCACATGATCAAAAAATCATGATGTATTTTCTTGAAGAGAAGAACATAAATAAATAAAATAGTAAGCAGAAGTAGCAGAAGCAGAATAAAACCCGCTCTGATACCAAGAAGAAAATAAGAATTTTAATAACATAAATAAAAGAGAAAAGAATGGAATAATATTTGAAAACTACATTGTGATTAACACAATTACAAAAGAAAGTGGGTGGCTATTTATAAGCATGTCTACACTACTAGATAAAAACCACTATTAATAATTATTAAATTAAACTAATCTTGATAATTACTAAATCATATCTACCACTCATGATAATTCTTTAGTAAAAATTATCATTAAAGTAAATCCACCCTCAACTACTATTGATAGTGATTTTTTTTTAAAAAAAAAAAAATCCACTCAGTGGACCCCACTTAAATGTGAGTACCCCTCCCACTCTTACAAACCCTGGTGAGAATCGAACCCTGATATATTACCAGAAAAAACAATAACCTAACCACTAATCGGTCATCCCTATTGATGGTGATCTTTAAAAGAAAGTACGAACACTTAAGTATAAGCATAATCAATAGATGGTGATGGATTTACATTACAATATGAATCATGGTTCATGTAACAATTCGCATATGATATATGTAACTGTTACAGCGAAAAAGCTACAAGACATGGAGGGAGCCTAATGTCTGGAACTAATTAAAGACATTGAAATTAGGATTGAAGAAGCAATTTGATAATCTTCTCCAAATTGGAGCAAGAAGAACCACTTGGACTTTTAGCAGCTTCCTCACCTTTGTTCTTCCAGTACAAGCTTTTTTCCTTCATGATTTTCCCTTTCTCCCCAGCCATTAACTCCCTAACAAGATTCTCAACTTCATCCCTCTTCACATTACTGTCGATTTCCATGCCAATTCCCCACTTAGTTCGACAAGCCCAGCAATTTGTTTGTTGATCAGCGAAAAATGGCCAGCAAATCATAGGCACACCATAGCTAATACTTTCAAGGGTTGAATTCCATCCATTATGAGTCAAAAACCCTCCAACAGATTTGTGCTTAAGAACTTGTTCTTGGGGACACCAACTGGCCATTAATCCTCTCCCTTTGACTTCCTCCAAGAATTCAGGAGGAAGAACCGCGGAATCACCCGAAACAAGATCAGGCCTAATGATCCATAAAAATGGTGTTTGACTATTTGCAAGCCCCCATGCAAACTCCACAAGTTGTTCAGATGTCATGACCGTGATGCTCCCAAAGTTGACATAAACAACAGATTTCGGATCCTTCTTGTCAAGCCATTCAAGGCATTCTGGTTCTTCTTTCCAGAGATTTGACCTCAAAGCTGCTAATTTTTCATCATCACTGTGCACTTTTTCTTCCATAAGATTTAGTGGCCCAATGGTGTAAATAGGAGGAAGAAAAATGGTTGAAAGTGGTTGAAGAAAGTCTTGCTCAAGTTCATCATACGAGTTTAAAACTATTGCACAAGCCTTTTGGACCGGCGGGCCAGTTACTTGGAGTATGTACTTCACCAATACATCATCTGGATCTGTAGTTCTCATGAAAGTTGGGAGGTCTCTCAACCGTATATTTTTCATTCCCGGAATCCAATCCAATGTTTGGTCAAGTTCTCCATTTGTTAAATAATGTGCATCTGCAAATAAAATGTTCACGTCATCAACAACATAACTTGTCATACTTTATCCTCTGTAAGAAAAAAATATCTTGTTATAGTGCTCTCTCCACAATACATAGAAATCTTGTTAAATTACTACTCCCTCCGTCCCATAATTATTGTCCACTTTACCCAAAAAATTTTGTCCCAAAATTATTGTCCAATTTGACTTTTTATGGATCAAGTTACACATTTGTCCTTAGTAAAAAACATTATCCATAAAATTTTAATGGTTAAACAATTACTTATGTAAGGGTATATCCGGTTGTTTAAGGTAAAATATAGTTAAATTTGACCAATAATAAAATCTTTTATTTTAGTAAAATTAGACAATAATTATGGGACGGAGGGAGTATGTTTTTTGGGACAATGGAGTATGTTTTTACTTGTACTAAATGTGCAACAAGCGAAGTTTAGAGTTACTCAAGAATTGTAAGATTGAAAATGTAAAGAGCAATGAGTTCGGCTTAGTAATTTAAGTCGGCTAGATATATCTAACGAGTGTGGGATCCAAATTAATTCAATTCTTCGTCCACAATACACCTAATCTATGGTTGGTTTTCATATATTAAGGAGAATGCATGTTCTGATTCCGTAGTTGTTCTTTTTGGAATGGTCAACTTTGTGGTGAAATAAGTAAAATTTTGATTTTTATGTAAAAAAAAAAGAGTAAAATTTTGATTTTTAACCTAAACAATATGATCTATTTGCTCTTCCTTTCGAATAATGGCCGCTCAGCTCAATATTAAACATATTGAAGACATGGGTTACTTATCTAGGTTCATTTTTTGACTAAATGTGAGGAAAGTAAAACTAAGTTGTATCTCGGTCGTTATTTTAATGGTATATTTAATACTCCCTCATGTCCTTATTATAAGCCATTTTGATTTCATTCTACGTTTAATCTATGATGTCTTTTTAATTCAAATAAAACCCTGAATATATTTTTAATTGGAAAAAAAATATTAAAATTATATTTTGACATTCATTGTGTTCCCCTTATTATTATGAAATGTTTTTAAGAATTTTATTTAAATTAAAAAGACATTATAGGTTAAACTTAGGACGAACTCCAAATGTCATATAATAAGGACCCGAGTGAGTACTTTATAATACTCCCTCCGTCGCATAATTATTGTCCAGTTTGAGTTTTTATTTTTAGTTCAAAATGTACTAAAAGTGAAATCTCAAATTGGGCAATAATTTTGGGAGATAGGGAATACATTATTTTAGTTTAATATTGCCCAGCTAGTTTTCGTGAGATGAAAGGACTACCACACTACAAGTTTACGAATATTTCTCCAGTAACTTTGACTTCCCAACCAATTCTGTCATGTAAAATGTAAATGTGATTGTTCTTGTTTCTTGTTCCTTTCAAGTCCATCTAGTAACTATGTCTCACATCCCCATCCTTCAGTTGGCATAATTAAAAACAAAAGTGAAGTTCCGAATCGACCCATATTCTCCCCCAACCCCCAAACAAAAAAAAAAACCTCAAATGAAAAACTTGGTTGAAGGTCAAAGTTGAGTAACAATGGACTGATTTACTATTAAAAAAAAAAACAACAAAGAAGCTAAAGAAGGTAACCAAAATATTGAGTTTTTTTTTTTCTTTTAAATGATGTCGAGAACCCATGATAGATGACTAAAATTGAATGAAGGTAACTAAAACTCTCGAGTGTTTATCATTTGATCAGTATGAATTACCTTTGAAAGGTATGATGCCCTTGTCAATAAGCTTAGAAAACTGGCAATAACCCAAGGAAGCACAAGCACTTGCTGTCCAAAATAACACTTCAGGGATGCCAAACTCCTCAGCAGCTTCAAGGGTAAAGATCATCCCTCCATCAGAAACAATACAAGAAACCGGCGGATTAATCCGCGGCGAAGAAACCGCGGCATCACGATTAAGTTTTGCCAGTAGCTCCTTAAACGGGGCTGTACAATTTGTGGAAATGGATTCACTAAGGGATGGGATATCTTGAGTTGCATCAACATCTGATGGAGGAAGCCCATCCGGGATGGCTTCGAATCGAAAAGTAGGCAAGGCATTTAAGAAATTTGAACCTCTGGATTTGAGTAAACGTTTGTGGTTGAATTCAGTGTTAACGAAAGTGATGTGGAAACCTTTGTGATGAAGAATTTTGGCAAGTTTTAGCATAGGGTTTATGTGGCCTTGTGCTGGATATGGGATGCAAACAGCATGTGGTTTTTCATTTTGCAAAGAGTTCGATCCCATCTTTCCCTTCTCTCTCTCTCATTTACTTTCTTTCTTTCCAGATTTGGGATGTTTGGGGTTAATATATGCTCTAAAGACAGTTTTATTTATTAGTTATTGAAATCAACGTCAATGTGATACTACCGGAATTATTAGCACGCCTATTTCTGAGACACAGAAAAAAAACGAAAAAGATAAAAAAGATCTTGAACTAAGGACAAGAAAATGTGTGTGTATAATTGATTCTGTACTCACAAGGTCACATGGATATCGAAGACAAATCGTCCCTCAATTGCTGATAATAGAAAGAAGAAGAAAAAAAAATTAAAAAAAAATAAATAGAAAGAAGAAGAATCCCATTTTTCTTTGTTTCGTCATGTTTCCTTGTCTTCTTCTAACATGTGACCAATTTTTGGTACTAGAGTACACAATTAGAGGTCAAGCTATATCTTTGTTATCACACAATGTAATAAATATAGGATGGCTCATCTTACAAGTGCTAGAAATTAAGAAAAAAAAAAAAGCAAAAATTGGATTCCGACAACTTCATATTTTTCGTTAAAGACCCCCTTTTTTAGATCTATCGGAAGGGAAAATGAATTAATTAGTAAAAATCATGGTTACAGTAAAAGGGGAAAAAATAGGACAAACACCGGCGATTTATTCACAAAAAAAAAAAAAAATGTTCATAGGACATGGAGTGATTTTTATTATTTTTTTTAAAAAAAATTTGGGTGAATATGGGATAATTTCGACTTCGGAAATTGTTGTTGTTTAATGATTGATGTGCTTCTTCCCAAAAAATGATTGATGTGTGGATATGGTTATTTGAGGGACACACATCACATTACTATTTTCGTTTTGGCATATTCACAACTTGCCCATCTCAACAATTTAGCAATGGCTAATAATAACGCCAGAACAATTTTTAGCCTTCGGAACAAAAGAAGAGTGTCTTGCCCAAATTATCCTCAACTCCCTAACCACTTTCTTTCTTTCCGACGTTAGTCTCTCCTTGCCCATGCCAACTTCAAGTTTCCGTCCCCGTTGAAATCTTTCTTAGCCGCCACAAATAAATTCCAACCCACATGATTATTTCTCTGGAGATTCTTGATTTATTTTTTGGTTATCTTTCTCCAAGGCTCCATCTGTAATTATTAAGCCTTTTTAATTCATAAAAACTGCCTCAAATTCTTGTTCCGTACTTATTATTTGAAAAGTTTTCAAAAAAAATTTGTTTGAATTTCCGAAATGAATGAGTTTTTTGTGAGCCAATTCGTCAGTAAAGTTGTTGAGTGGGCATTAGGACCGTGGCATTCTCTGTGAATAATGCATCGGATATCGGCGCAACTAATAATTTGGTATACTTTAATTTACAACTTATTGGTGTTTGTCTACAGGGAAGTGGTCAAGCCATACATGAAAAACTTATTCATTGAAAGTGCGTCCCTTGAATTCTTAGTTAGAGATGCTTAGAGATGCAAAAACAAAAATACTCATTGTTAAAACATCATATGTTGTGAAAATTTTGGATTGAGGTTTTTGAGATTCAATGATATAGGTAAGAACTTTATGGTCTTCATGAGGAGTCGAATTCTGGTTATTATAATCGGTGTGGTAGGAATTGAATTGATGAAGTGATCGGAACCCATAGTGACATTGGGATTAAGGTGGATGGTTTGTTGCAGAAAGAGCGGCTGATGGTTGTAAAGGATAACAAATAGCTTTTACCCAATATAGGGGTAATTTTGGAACCACAGCGATTTTTTGCTCTAGGAACTAATTTCTACTTTGGCAATATCGCAAGCTTTTAGCAATTAACCTGCCATTGAATTATAATCATCTTGATAAGTAAGATAATTAATTAAAAGATTTATGGTGGGTTCTAAACATGCGATCAATGATTGACGATCGATAATTGAGTTATCACCACATTATTCTTTCGGGATGGTTTTTTTTTAAGGGAGTAAAAATCAGGATGTTGTTTGTTATGCATGTCTCCCGATATTATTAATAATAGAATCAAATCCTTTCCGACCGTTTCAATAAAATTACATGGAGGAAGTGCCTGAATGTAATCAACGTCTTTGTTCAATGTCCAACAAGGCTTTTGATTCATTCAACGTCGGAAATTTTATTATTCCAATACATGGGGAATTCCTAAAGTAATTATCCAATTACGTGAGTCAAAAGAAACTGGGGCGAATTCACTGAATTGCAAAACAATTTGAGGCGACGAGTACCCCATACCTTAATCCTAATTCTATTTTGTATTTGGGTACAAATGTGTTTTCTTTTTAAAAAATGGTGGTATCTTTGTGATCATGAAAAATATTTCCAACAAAATAGTCTACATTAAAAATAGAAATTACTGTTTTTGATGTAATTCATAATTTACAATGTAAACTATATTTTTGGGAGAAGAAGTATACTCTTAGACATGAAAGAAAAATGAATTTACCAGTAAATTCAACTCTAAAAAACGGAACTTTTACACGGAATAATATACATAACCATGCTTTTGCACTGCGCTGAAAATTTCTTTACTTTATCTATAAATTCACCAAGAACCGTCCTGGTTTTAAGCCAAAAAAAAAAAAAAAAAAAAAACCATGCTTTAAGCTCTCTCATTACAAGACAACCTGTTCATGTACTCCTCTGCAATACATTATTTTAGTTGAGTAAAGTGAAAAACTAAAATATGACAGAAGAAGTACTATTTCACACAAACATAAAACTTAAATAAACAAAATCCTTTTTATTACAACCATTGTCAATATAATATTACCGCTTATGATATATTGCAACGTAAATAAAATGCTCAACTTGCATGAATGGTAGCGTATGATTTCCTTATTCCGAATTCATTTCGGGTTGATGATCACTTTTGGAGCTGCCCGAGTGCTTTTTCTTTTCCTTCTTCCCATGGTTATGGGAAGGATGAGATGCTGCTGACGATGACAAAGATGGCTTGTTGTCCAAGTAATCCGAAATATCCATATGAACACCTGGATCTTGTGTCGTATAGCTCCCTCCCATCATGATTGAATTATTGATGGCCTGAAAATTGCTATTCACATAAGTGCTCAATGTTTCATCCTCTCCCAATGGTGGAACTTGACTCGGATTCGCTCCGGTTGCGTTTTTATCCTCGATCTCCCCTCGCATGGTGGCGCCGACATTGTTTCCGGCCAAAGTGATGATTCGCACTCCGCGATCGACTTCTAAATCCTCCTGATTATCGTGATCCATGGTTTTCTGAAGGCGTTGAAGATTAGTGAGACGATTCGTGAGTGTCGAAATCATGTCCCTAATCTCAAGATCCAAGTTTTTGTGCAGCTTTTCAGTGCCATCATCCGAACCAAGTTGAGGCATTTTTTAGCTTGATTTTTTAATAGGTTGGGAAGAAGGATGTATATATTAGGGTGATTAACTCAAATAATACATTTATAAGCTGTACTAGTATATGTTTTGCTTTGTCTTGTTATGCACATGATTCGTTTCCCCAAATGAAAAGAAAAGCATTGCTTTAATTATTGTCTACATTCACTTTTTCCATCTTCTTATTTTTCATTTTCCCCACTTTTTCCAAAGCCCAACTATTCAGTATAGCTTTCACCGGACGCTTGATAACTCTCTACCTTAAGCTTCAACCTCCTTTAGACCTTTACTAACTAGGGTTGAGATAGAGCATTAATCCTGAGCTGGAAAGTTTTGGGCTTTAAAGTTAATATTTTCGCATTTAGTCATATGATTACTCGTCAAACTTACAAGAGACAATTCTTCCATTTTTTTTTTCAAAATAATAGCACTCCCTATAACGTCCCGAACTAGATCACTCCTGTTATTAGTGAAGTGATCGAGTTAGGACACCTACCAGACTCGCGACAGAACTTATTAACAGTCAATTGTCAAGAGCGATCAAATATACACATATAACAAGAAATACTTTTATTTATAATGCATCGAATTACTCAAGCACCTATAGCCATTCACTTTGGTAATTTTGTAGAATACCGTCACTCCTTCCTAATTATGCCCGTCGCCGACTCGTCGGTTTTGATTTCTTAGAATGGGCGTGAATCCACTTTACTATAACACATAATTCACTTAATAAATTGTACATTAAACAATTCACCGGAATGATAAAATACACCCCCAAGTCAAACACATATTCCATGAATAATACCACAAATAGTGAAACACCCACTTAAATTTTCTGTATTACAATCAAGCTCCGACAAGTATTCTGGACAAATATTTAAATTGCAATAGTTAAGTTCATTTCCTAAGACAAAGTAAGAATACTTTTATGTCATGAAAAGAAAATGGAGCCAAAAAATATAAACATCACGATTTGTTTTCTTTTTTTTCTTCCTCCCTTGTTTCTGTCATTTAGATTAGTACTATTACCCCTTTTTTTTTTAATTGAATTTTTTTCCTTATATCAGCCCATAAACCCCAAACCACCAACCCAAACAAAATGGAAGCTATCATGTGAATAGAAGGTGGATAAATTTGGCCCAAAGGCCAGCAACACAACCCCACACTCCATAAACGCAAAGGCAAAAGAAAAAAAATACAAATGGCCTTCTAATTCTACTGACTATGGTCCAGTATTAGCAAGCCCAGGTTTCTTTCCTTTGCATCCATACCCAATTCTTTCAACACTATTCATCATCTTCTTCATAAAACAAACACACGCACACACAAGCCTTCTTGTTCTTCTTTGTCCCGGAAACAAAACCAAGAAGAACACACGGGCACATGCATTTCTTTCTTCTTCTTCATTTTTTCTTTTTTTTTTTCTCCAGAAGACAACAAAAGCAAAAACACGCACACACACCAAAACAATCCAGATCGATATCTTCTAATAATACTGGGAAAATTTGATTAAACGCCGTAAAAACATATCAAATTAATAAAAGTGGTATGATCTTAAAATATTTTATATGAAAGACGATAATTTATTTGTTAAAAATCACAGAAATAATAGTTTAATTTAATATTGACATACTTATCCTTAATTTCTTATACCCTCTTCAGTTTAATGAATCACCCTTAACAGCTCGAGAACTGTCCCTAACCTTTGTTTCTCTTTGTATTTTGCTGGATACGTACAAAGTCACGCAGGAATCAATCTGCAAACTTCAGGAATCAATAGATATTAACTGGAGTAATTAAGAAGACAAAGAACCAAAAACCATTTAAAATAAATTGGGGTAAAATTAAAGCTTGAACCTAAACGATGCCACACACAAAGCTTTCACCAAGCTCTCTGTTCTCAGATACGTACAAAGTCACGCAGCCGCACCAATGCAATTTTCTGCGTAAAAACTAATCACTCCATAACCTGACCAATCCTTATATACATAGTGATTTTGGATTCTTAAAATATTATGAAAAAGCTCAACAAGTTTACAATTGAATTGTCTTAAGAGGAGAATGAAGAATCAGAACTTGAAGTTAAAAGATGAAGGGCAAAGTCAGCTTGCTGGCTACGAAAATTAGAATTTCTAACTGATGCTCTTTCTTGAACTGATTTGGGAGACTTCCTGATCAAATCTATAATTCTAGACTTCTACTCAGAATAGGGTATTCAACCGAAGCCTACATCACTCAATCTACATATTATTTCTCTTTTTTTGGGCTTGGTGTTTTGTTCAATTGAGGATAGATGGTATGGTATTTATGCTGTTGTAAATCTGAGGTGTGGGGGGCCTGGGGGTACTTCAATGGGGGAGGTGGGGGTGGGTGGGTAACCCGTATCTGATTATGAGATGGACATGTGTACACTTTAATGTTGTGCCAGGCTTTTATTCTTACCCCTCAAATTTATTTTAGATCCCTATATTTATGCATCCATAAGTTTTGTTCCTAAAGTATTCTGTCGAATATTATACAACCCGTCTATTTTCCTTTTTTTAATTACATATAAGTCCTTTTGTTTATTTATTTATTTTTTTAACCTAATAAATTATCCTTTCAGTAATTTAGGAAATATAAAAGAAAGATAGTAGAGGGACCTCACATTCTTTCTCCCTTTAAAGAATTTCGTTCTCTAAATTCTCTTTTATAAATAATTCAAGATACTTTTTTCTCATCCCTTCTTCTGGTTCCCATGTTGCTTCTTCTAATCCTTGATGCCAAATACTTTAACGAGATTAATCGTTTTACTTCTCAAAATTTTCTATGGACGATCCAAAATTTTAACCGGCTTTTCTATGTACGTAAGTCGATCATCAAGATCTAAATCCTCGAGTTGAAGGACATGGTTTGAGTCTGGATGATATTTCTTTAGGACTGACACATGAAAGACGTTTGTGCATCCTAGTCAAATTCACCGGACAATCTAGCCAGTGTGCAACTGTTCTAATTTTTTGAATTATTTTAAATGGTCCGACATATCTCGGGCTTAGTTTTCCTTTCTTGCCATTATGGATAACTCCTGTATGTGGGGTTAACTTGAGAAACATTTTATCTCCTCCCTGGAACTCAATATCTTTTCTTCAATTATCAGTATAGCTCTTTTGTCTAGTTTGAGCTGTTTGTAGTCTTTGACGAATAAGTTTAATTTTTTCTTGGGCGTCAAGGACCCATGGAATAATTATTGGAGGGTTTACACTTCTTTCTCCCACATCATCCCAAAAGATAGGAGACCTATATCTTCATCCATATAGAGTCAAATAAGGTGCCATTCCAATGGATGCATGGTAACTGTTATTATATGCAAATTCCACCAAAGCAGGATAGTTGTCCCAATTTTCACCAAAGTCGAGCACACAAGCTCTTAGCATGTCCTCTAATGTTTGGATAGTTCACTCTGATTGGTCATCTGTCTGAGGATGTCACGCAGTGCTGAAATTTAACTTTGTTCCAAGCACAAGTTGTACTTGTTGCCACAAACAAGAGGTGAATCGTGGATCTATGTCAGATTCTATATTTACCGGAACTCCATGAACCTTGATCACCTTGTCTGTATAAAGTTGGATAAACTTGGAGCTTCTTGATCGTCAATGCCATAAACTCGTGCTTCCACTTTCAATCATCCTGAAACCTCCCTCTGTATTTACCTATGGCTCATCCCTTTTTATTTGTGGACATTCAGAGATTCGATGTTCTGAGCTGCCACACCTTAGACACTTATGTTGTTTCTTCCAACAATTTTTTCCTTCATTATTTCCCTTTTTGCAATAGTTACAACGCGAGGAATGGGCATGTATGTTATTGGGCCTATGGTTACTGGTTGATGTTGCTATTTTTGTCAGGGCCACCAATACTCGTTTAATTTGACTTTCATTTTTTTGACGACTAGTGAAAATCTTGAAGTCGTGCCTTTGTAACTTTAACTCTTGTGGTTGTTTCTACAGCTCGGACGAAACTGGGTTGTTGGAAATGTTCCAGAGCATCCCGTAATTCAAGTCGCAACCCCTATATGAAACGTCTTTTGTGTTTTTCATCCATGGTTACCATCTTCGGCATACACTTACACAGCTTTAAAAATTTTGCTTCATATTTAGGGACATATATGACTCCCTGCTTGAGATGGTTAAATTCCACCTCTTTTCTTTCTCGGAGTAAGTTAGAAATATAATTTTTCTGAAATTTCAACTCAAAATCGTCCCATGTTTTAGGAGTTTTCTCAGTTTCCCATTTGTGCAGGACTAACTTTCACCAATCTTTTGCAGAACCACAGAATAAAAAACAAATTTAATCTTTTTTTCTTTAGAGTAATCTAAAGCTTTGAAAGTGTTACCCATGCTTTCCAGCCACCATTATGCTTCTTCGTCATCCTTTTCCCCGTAAAATAGGGGTGGGTGAAACCTTTGAAATCGTTCTAGGGCTTGGTCATCTCTTTCAAAGATTGTTGTTCATGAGCTGAGTTTTCCAATGTGTTGAGAAATTTGTTAAGACATAGCATGTACAGCTTCTGTTAGTGAATTAGCAAAACGTTCAAGCCCTCCTGTATTGATCGTATTTCCTTGCTCCGGAAATTCCTCCATCTTTTTTTTTTTAATGGTGATGGTCCTATTATTATTATTATATTTTTGAAAACTAATAAATTAACATTATAACACAATAGATCAATAACTTCTTTACGACAAATAAAACAAAAATCTAAAAGAAGCAATAAATAAAGCAAAGAAAGAAAAATCTAACAAAGGCAATGAATAAAAATAAAAAAGAACCAAGACATACCCACTCCTTCATATTTACAATATGGGTTAGTTAGTGAATTAATCCCAGAAGCTTAGGGCTACTACATATGCACACAATTTATGTACATATTTCAAACTGGGGAAATTTAAACTATTACACAAGTTTCCTCAGTTTGCCAAAATTAGCCTCTTCTATTCCATGTTAGGCCAAGAAACCTACAACATCACAATTTCCAACAGACTCCGCAGGCTGTGCAGGAGGTGG